CTGCGTTTTGTTTTGAAGTAATCGGTCACGTGATGGAGAAGCGTGGCTTGACGTGTGTCAAGCGTGACACAGACGGATGTAACGGAGAATCCGGTAGTTTTTCAAAATAAAACATCTTTCGTATTCCGAAATAAATAAAACGGAAGGCAAATTCTTTCTGTGCGGCCCAGCACCAAATGCCTGGCGGACCGGTACTGGTCCGCAGACCGGCGGTTGGGGACCCCTGCTATAATGCACTCATGGCTATGTGGTCATGATAAACAATAAACACTCAAGCTCAAGCACAACCCCTGGAATTCAACTTGGCCACTCCAAAAACTTCATTTTGTTTGTATAAGCAATTCATAAATTGATTTGCCGAGGTGTTTTTGATTGTTGCTGCAGAACACAAAGGAGCGTCAGCTTGAGGTCATAAACTGATGGCCGAACAATTCCCCTCAAGATTTTGGTTGGTTCTTGGTTTGATGGTCTTTTTCTAAAATGCAGTGTTCCGTTTACACCAGATGTAATGAGACACATACTTTCCAAAATGGTCAACTTGCATTTTCTCAGTCTAACCTCCTGACTACCAGGAAAAAAAATGTTGTCCAATCACATTTATTTTGACATTCCCCAATCTATGTGAAGTAATTGGACTCCTCCAAAAAATTTTTTGAAATCCCACTACATTTTTTAAACAGGCTCAAATACACTTAAAACAACTCAAACAACACTTTAACGTGTTCATAAGAGTCTTATAATTAAAATGCCAACAGCATTTCAAGACAAAATGTGGTCGATAAAAAGTATTACTTTTCCTCTTCCCATAAAAAGTGCTTGCACTGAGGGAAGCCATTTTCTTACTTTTTCTAACCCCTACAAATTTGGTATCATTGGAAAGCACTGAATGTCCTCTTTAGAGTAACAAAAGGAGTTAATGCGATTGGAGGCACTGGGTGGGAGATATTTAGGTTCACAAATGTCCTCTACAGAGGACAAATTTGAACTACTTTTAGTCAGGAGGCTAAAGAAGATTCTTCCAAAAGTCGTGGAAATCATTCAGATGTGTTTTGCACAATGAAGATGAATGATGAATTAAGACTCCTGGGAAGGATCATTACTGTTCCTTGCTTTCTGAATGTCTGGATAATGTATCTCGCTATGATTTGCTGGAGGCCTAAAGCATTAGGAATGACTTTGTAATGTTTCCGGATGTCAATTACTTCATTTCTTGTCTGTTCTTGAATTTCTTTGTATCATGGCATTTCGTTGCAGCTTTTTGCGATCATTTGGCCGACTTAAAAACTGTATGTTATGTTTACTTTGGTTATCTTTGTATGATCTTTACATTTGTTTTAAGATGTTAAACATTAAAGAAGGGAAATATTTTTTCAAATGGAGGAATTTTAGAAGGGGACAAATACTTTGTTCATGGCACTGAAGTTGCTCTGCTCTTGAACATTTTGTGGCTTGACTGCTCGTGTGAGAACAAATGTATGCATTTGCCATTCACAATAGCATCTATTTCAATATTACACTTTTTCTACTGTGTAACACACTCTTTCAATCATGGCTTGATGAAGCCAACAGAGCTGACAGGTGTTTTACAGCCAGGACAAAAAAAAACACATCTTGCCTTCTGACTCTGAGGTTTGCCTGTCCAAAGGCCCCTCAAACACATTGCTTTTTTTGTTCATACAATACAATACATCCTGCTTGATATAGCGCTTTCACAACAGCTGCAGCTATAACAAAGCGCTTTAGAAAACAGTTAACATAAGTAAATCATAAACACAACACACAACATAAAACATGGACAGTCATGCAATCTTAACCATTTTTCCCTCATACGCTTTGTTGTTTGATGCCCATCTATACATCCATTTTCATCTTCAGCAGGGATTTTGAACAAGGAGGGGGGAGGGGGGTGCAGCCGTGAAGATTGATTGCCAGCCAATCTCAGTACAATACATTCGAGCCTGTTGATTTTGACCCTCTGTAGATTTGTATATGTATGTAGAATTATTCTATCCTTGGAAAAGACCCATTGCAATAAGTCATCAAACCCAGAAATTATATGACTTTTATTGTACGCCCATGATGAATGTATGTAAGCTTCTGACAACAAATATGTATAAGCTTGTCAGGATGAATATTGTTTTAAATAAAGAAATAAACAAACAAATAAATAAATGAGGCAGCCCGGTGGTCGAGTGGTTAGCCTGTCGACCTCACAGATCAGGTTTGATTCCAGCGCCGGCCTTCCTGTGTGGAGTTCGCATGTTCTTCCTGTGCCTGTGTGGGTTTTCTTCAGGTATTCTGGTTTCTTCCCACATTCTAAAAACATGCGTGGCAGATTAATGGAACACTCTAAATTGTCCCAAGGTGTGAGTGTGAGCACGGATGCTTGTTTGTCTGTGTGTCCCCTGCGATTGGCTCGCAACCAATTGAGGATGTACCCCGCCTATTGCCCGAAGTCGGCTGGGATTGGCTCCAGCATGCCCCGAGACCCTTGTGAGGATAAGTGGATCAGAAAATGCATGGATGAATAAATAAATGAAATAAAGAAAAAAAAAACAATGCCTGAATGAATTCTTGGTCTCACCCTCTGTATCGAATTCCAGGGTATTCTTTGAGAGTGGCACAGAGGGTTGCAATTTGTTCAGCGCAACCTTCCAGCATGTTGTTCTTCACATCAGCTTTGAAGGGGCTGTAGAAGTCCTGAAAGGCGTCTACTTTATCCAGCGAGAAGACCTGCGCCAAAGGGAAACGTGGTTTAACCAGCCATTACAATTGGTTCACAAAGAAAGGTCCGCTCATCGAGGCTTTATGTGCACACAACCCCCTCTGCTGGCCAACACCGTGATTGTCACGTAGACGATGTGTCATGGCTTTTTGCAGTCTTGCAACAGTGTCTGTATGGGAATGGGAACCACTGAAATTAAAACACCATCATTCGATTTTGTGGGGTCATGTAATGTGTTTATGATTAATTTTAGGTTGTTGCTATGGTATAAGTCCAATTATATAGAAAAGATGGGGCATCGTGTGTACTGTGGATACATTCATTCATTCATTCATTCATTTTCCGAACCGCTTGATCCTCACTAGGGTCGCGGGGGGTGCTGGAGCCTATCCCAG